CGGTCTCGCAGGCGACCTTGCTCTTGGGATCCCCCGTCAGGCAGCAGTCCAGGACGGCATCGGAGACCTGGTCGCAGAGCTTGTCCTCGGAGGTCGGACAACAATGTCTGGGGCAAAAACTAAAGCATAAGAGGGCACTTCCTCCAACCAAGCACGCCAGAGAGGAAGCAGACGAGGTCATGTTCCCCAAAAAATATTTGCGCTGAGGGCTCCCGCTTGCTTCTTCCAGAAGCGGATGCGCGACGCTGCGAATCCGACCAGCCCTTTTGGGGCGGAGGTGGCCCACAGTGCGGACGCGGCCGCACTGTAGGCCTGTAGGCCACCCTCGCAAGAATGGCAACCTTTCAAGGGGAACTGGGACACACAAATAAATAGACACAAATAAAAAGATTCCCCATATTTTCCCATATTTTCTGGGTTTCTGTCTTCCCCACCACTTCCCATATTTTCCTATATTTTTCTGGGGATCGACGATTAATTGTGTCTGTGTGTTTCTTTTCCTCCTGAACCTTGAAAACCTGCGCGCGAGGTGCACCTGAAAGGAAACCCAGAGCACCCTGAACGAAGCAGCTTCCTTAACGGTTGCGGGAAGTCACCGCGCAGCGCGCGGAGCGAAAAAAAACAGGATACCCTGACGAAAAGTATATGGCTTCTTGATGCGCGCCCCCCCACTGTAACAGCAAGGAGCTTCCTCTTCTATGTTCCTTCTTCCCCTTACGGGGAGAGGTTCATGACTGTTCCTCATCATACGCACACCCTCCCCTAACCCGACCTGGGGCGAACCCAGAAGCACGACAACTCCCACCACCACCCCAACATCCCTGACAAAAACACAAAGTTCACGCTGCGGCAGAATCTGGTTCCATGCGCGGAATCAAGCCATCGTAGCAGTTTGGAGTGGGTCGCACGGACGACGGGGGTGCCCGCACGTCGCCTGCTGCGCTCAGGCCGATCATCCATGTCAGACAGACACGTACTGAATCCATGCCTCGCCAATGATCATGCGCGGGCGCCCCGCGATCACTGAAGGGGCCCTGGGACACACAAATAAATACACACAAATAAAAATATTCCCCATATTTTCCCATATTTTCTGGGCTTCTGTCTTCCCCCCCACTTCCCATATTTTCCCATATTTTTCTGGGAATCGACGATTAATTGTGTCTGTGTGTGTGTTTCCCCTCCTGAATCACTGTGAACTACTCTCTCACAGGGATTGATGGGGGATGCCCTGGCACGCGCGCGGCGTACCCCGCGAGCGTCGCGCACCCGGCCAGCGCCTCCGCTGGCTCCCGAGGATGGCCGATGGCGGGCCCTGTCCGTGCTGACTCTCGGATGCTGCTTATGTTGAAGGGGCCCTGGGACACACAAATAAACACACAAATAAAAGGATTCCCCATAGTTTCCTATATTTTCTGGGCTTTTGTCTTCCCCCCCACCTCCCATATTTTCCCATATTTTCTGGGGAATCGAGGATTAATTGTGTCTGTGTGTTTCTTCCCCTCCTGATATATGGCGGGAGGGCGGCGACCCCGCCGCTGGCGCTCCAAATTCGAACGCCGCGGGACGACCCAGGAATCGGTCGATGCTGAACGCCCCTGACTCTTCGGAAGCGGCCGATCGCTCAAGGTTGGACGATCCCTGCGGCGTCGGGAACCAACGCTGGGGTCGACACGACGCGAGCCCATCGTGCAGACGCACTTCCGCCATCGGAGCGCCCAGCGAGCGTATCTCCGGCGACGCCGGCGGCTGTGTGGGAGTGAGCGAGACAGCCGTCCTTCGGAGGGGTGGCTGGACCCTTCCCCCTACACCAGCCCTCCCCCTGGGTGTGGACGAGGGGGGCGGCGAGCGGTCAGAGGGCCGACGATAGCCCAGGATGGCTCCAAGAGGGCCTCAGAGAGCCCGAGATGACCTCCAAGATGGCTCAAGATACCTCAAGATGGCGCAAAATGCCTTCCAACATACTCCGAGAACCCCCAAGACAGCTCCAAAACGGCCTCGGATAGTCACGGAGCCTCCGAACGACGCCCCCTACAGGCCAAAATGCGTGCTGCCCTCTGGCCTTTTCGCTCTTGGGGCCTCAAGATGGCTCCAAGATGGCCCAAGAGAGCCCCAAAGGTGGCCCAAGAGGGCTCCAAGACGGCCCCAGGAGCGCCTGAGAGTTACCCAAGAGCGCCCCGAAAAGGCCCCAAGAGACTATGTTTGGGGCTCAACAGAGGCAGCGCTGATTAAGAATCCCTCCTCTTGGATCGATAGATGGTCCCAAGGAGGGCTCTAGATAGCCCAAGATGGCTTCAAACGTTGATCGATGTCCTCCAAGATGGCTCCAAGAGGCCCCCAAAAGACGGCCCCCAGACGCCCCGAGCGATCCAGGTTCTAGGGACTGAGAGATCTGGTTTCCGAGGCTAGCTCCGATCAGCTCACTAGCAGTTATCGCTGCAACGCCGAGCATTGTAGTTCTGGTAATTGCGTGATCTTGACCAGCTTCAATAACACTGGCAACTAACCTCCGCCCTACCTGGTGCTTGCACTGAGGGGTTCTTACCAAATGGAGTGGGGATGAATTCCGCCAGCGCTGGCTCTCGACACTGGCCCCTCCTAGCCCGTACTGGCCAACCACCACAAACGCTGCTGCTTCAGAACACCAGCCCAAAGTTCCGCTTCTGCCAACTCTGGCTCCCGCACTGGCCCGTACCAGCAGCCACTAATTACCCTCGGCAGACTTGTCTGCCGACAGCGCTGATTCCCGACACCAGCCTTAACAAGCTCCAACTAGCCTCGCTGGCCCTCATTCGGAGATGGACAGACCTCCCTTTAGAAAAACGTGGTTTAGTGAAAACGACCTCGGGCCCAGACCTGGCGGGCGCAAGCCTGGAAAATAACGGACGCGGCGCCCTCTCGAGAACCGAAAACGGACAGTTCACTAATCGACGTGTCAAGGTAGGAGGTCTGTCCACCCCCCACTCATCGCCGCAAACTCGGAATCCTTGCACTCGGCAGCCCCACCAGAACCAATTGTTGCCAACACTGCTTCCCCGCACCGGCCCGCACGAGCCTCCGCCGGCCGTGGTTGCCTCAGACGCTGGTTCCGTCACGGGCACTGGCTGGCCCACGCCAGCACGGGGAGCCACCGCTGATGCCCTGCACAACCCTTAGAAACACTATCCGGGACCCACGCGCCAGAACACTTGTATGGACAAGCCACTCGAAGATCGTTTGCGGCCTACGCTTCTGACCGTGATGTCCGGGTGGCCCTCGTTCACCGACTCGGACGAGAACAGGAAGATGCGCTCAGTCTTGGCCTTTTTGGTTGCCGGCTCGCCCATGGCTGCAGTCTGAGGTCTGTTCTGCGAACAGAGATCTTGGCACGTACCACCTCGAGCACAAACTCGGCAGACCCCGCCAGCCTCATATTGCTCCTGTTCCTCTTCTCTCTTCTCCTCCTCCTCCTCCTCCTCCACCTCCTCCTCCTCCTCCTCCTCCTCCTCCTCCTCCTCCTCCTCATCCTCCTCCGCATCCTCCTCCTCCTCCGTATCCTCCTCCTCCTCCTCCACCTCCTCCTCCTCCTCCTCAGCCTCCTCCGCCTCCTCCTCCTCCGCCTCCTCCTCCTCCGCATCCTGCTCCTCCTCCTCCTGCTCTCCTCCTCCTCCTCCTCCTCCTCCTCCTCCTCCTCCTCCTCCTCCTCCTCCTCCTCCTCCTCCTCCTCCTCCTCCTCCTCTCCCTCCTCCTCCTCCTCCTCCTCCTTCCTCCTCCTCATCCTCTCCCTCCTCCTCCTCCTCCTCCTCCTCTCCTCCTCCTCTCCTCCTCCTCCTCCTCCTCCTCCTCCTCCTCCTCCTTCCTCCTCCTCCTCCCTCCTCCTCCTCCCTCCCTCCTCCTCCTCTCCTCCTCCTCCTCCTCCTCCTCCTCCTCCTCCTCCTCCTCCTCCTCCCCTCCTCCTGGAGTCCATCCTCCTCCTCATCCTCCTCCCTCCGTCTCCTTCATGGATACCTCCTCCCCGTCGCTCCACCACACGTGTCGATGGGGCGAGCAAGGTAACTCCCCTGAGACTTCCTTGCTGACTGCGACCTTGACACTTGAAGCGGACACAGTAAAGGAGCCCCAGGACACACAAATAAATACACACAAATAAAGGGATTCACCATATTTCCCCATATGTTCTGGGCTTCTGTCTTCCCCCCCACTTCCCATATGTTTCCATATTCTCATGGGTGTCGACGATTAGTTGTGTCTGTGTGTTCTTTCCCCTCCTGATACAATGTGGACCATTGTCGGTACAATCGGGGCTGATGGGAGAGGACACGCGAGAGAACACAAAACCCTTTTCCGAGGACTACATTGCCACGATACTGTAGAAGAGACCAACTAACAACTTCTACCGGCCACTCTGATGTATCCATAAAAGCAAGCTTCTGTGTCCATGCCCACTTGTTCTGCTTGTAACCCGTGGCCTATTCGTCCAAATTACATTCACGAGTTCGTCATAACGCTCCGTGGAGGGCACATTGAATCCAGTCTGGCCACGGTTCCACTAGGGCGTCGGCGTCGATGTCGTCGGCGTTCGGCTTGGTGCTGGGGTCGGAGACGGCGTAAGCGCCATGGTCGAGACCTTGATGGGCGTTTGGGGGCGCACCGGGCGATAGCGGTCGTCTCGGCACTCGCACGATCATACGGAGATTCCAGCGCTGAATCTTGTTCAATGTGTTTTGCATGTCTATTGTGAGTGTCCACCTCTCGCTCCCATGCAAAACAGTAGGTGTAATCGTACCATCCCCATGTCTAACGCCTCGCTGGATAAAGCGGACTGAAGCGGTTTGGTTGGAGTACAATCATTCCAGGGAGCGTATGTACGGTCGTTGGACACCCTGTTCCGCTAGTGCCACCCAGATGCTCTCGTGTGTGACACTACCGAATGTTTGTTTGAAACCGACCGTCGCCACCCACAGAGGTACCTGCCACTCGTCCGCCGCTTCTTGCAAAATAGACATCGTGAAAAGGTGGTCGGCGGTGCTTCATCCCGGGCGGAAGCCGGCGTGGTCGGCGCTTTGGTGTGAGCCGAGTAGTTCGTGTAGCCTGTTGTACGTGAGACGCGAGAACAACATGCTTAATAACGGAATCGTGGCAATGGGTCGCCAATTCTCTGGTAATCGTGGGTGTGTGACCACACTGCGGGTATAGAAGCTCCCGGCTGTACCATAGCGTTGAAAAGTGCCAATAAACTTGATCATAACACTTGCCCCCCTTCTTTGAGCATCCAGCGCTGATGTCTCTAGTGTCGGGTGCCACGGTCTTGAGCTGCTTGAGTGCTTGACGTAGCTCGTTGTCGGTAAATGGTGGGACAGATGTAGCATCAGGCGTCTCTCGGTCTGAGTGGGCATGGTTATCTTGTTCGCCATCCTGGCAAAACTGGCCAATACGGGTCCAGTAGTGGTTTGGGTTCCAGTTCCCGTGCCAGTTCTGGTTCCGCTTCCGGTTCCGGCTCTAGTTCTGGTTCCGGTTCCGATTCCGGTTCTGGTTCCGGTTCTGGTTCTGGCTTCCTTCTTCTTCTGGCCTCGAAGAAAGCCCCCGTGGTTCCGGTTCCTGTTCTGGTTCCGGTTTCGGTTTCCTTCTTCTTCCAGACCTGAACAAAACCTTCAGGTTCTAGTTCTGGTTCTGGTTCCCGTTCCGGTTCCGGTTTCCTTCTTCTTCGGGGAGGTGAAAAAGACCCCCTGGGTCACGGTTCTGGTTCCGGTTCTGGTTCCGGTTCTGGTTACAATTTCCTTCTTCTTCTGGTCTCGAAAAAGACCCCCCTGGTTATGGTTCTGGTTCCTGTTCTGGTTTCGTTTTTCTTCTGGCCTCGAAAAAGGCCCCCTGCAGGTTCCGGTTCTGATTCCGGTTCTGGTTCCGGTTTCCTTTTTCTTCTGGCCTCGAAGAAGGTCCCCCTGGTCACGGTTCCGGTTCTGGTTCCGGTTTCCTTCTCGCCTTGGCCTCGAAGAAGGCCCCCCTGGTCACGGTTCCAATTATGGTTCCGGTTCCAGTTCCGGTTTCACTCTTCTTCTGGCATCGGGGTCACGGTTCTTGTTCTGGTTCCGTTTCTGTTTCTGGTTCCGATAGATTTTCTTTTCTGGCCTCGAAGAAGGCCCCCTGGTCACGATTCCAATTCTGTATCCGGTTCCGGTTCCGGTTTCCTTCTTCTTCGGCACCCTCGTCACGGTTCCCGTTCTAGTTCTGGTTTCTCTCTTCTTCTGGCCTCGAAGAAGGCCCACCCGGTCACGGTTCTGGTTCCGGTTCTGGTTTCGGTTCCAGTTCTGGTTTCCTTCTTCTTCTGGCCTCGAAGAAGCCCCCCTTGGTCACAGTTCTGGTTCTGGTTCCGGTTCTGGTTCCGATTTCCTTCTTCTTCTGGCCTTGAAAGAGGCCCACCCGGTCACGGTTCCGGTTCTGGTTCCGGTTATGGTTCCTCCTCCTACCCTATAGGCCCCCTCCCAGGGCCTACCCCTAGGCCGACCCCTAGGGCCTACCCCTAGGGCCTACCCCTAGGCCTACCCCTTGGCCTTCCCTTACGGCATACCCCTAGGCCTAGGGGTAGGGCCTAGGGGTAGACCGGACCAAATGACTCCCTTCCGGCGTCCAGTGGGGCGCGGTGTCCCGCCCGTGTCCCGCCGGTGACCCGTCGGCGTCCCGATGATGACGGTGATGATGATGATGATGATGATGATGATGATGAGGAGGATGAGGATGAGGATGAGGATGAGGATGAGGATGAGGATGAGGATGAGGATGAGGATGATGAGGATGACAACGATGATGATGATGATTATTATGATGATGATGACGATGATGATGGTGATGATGGTTTTGATGATTATGATGACGATGATGATGGTGATGATAGTGATGACGGTGATGATGGTGATGATGGTGATGATGGTGATGATGATGAAGGTGATGATGGTGATGATGGTGATGATGGTGATGATGGTGATGATGGGGATGATGGTGACGATGATGGTGGTGATGATGATGATGATGATGGCGTTGATGATGATGATGATGATGATGATGATGATGTTGATGTTGATGTTGATGTTGATGATGATGATGACGATGACGATGATGAGATCGATTGTGAGATCGCTTGTGAGATCGATAGTGAGACCGACTGAGGGATCGATTGTAAGATCGATCAAATGAGATCGATCGATAGTGAGATCCGATGTCCCGCCGGTGTCCCGCCGGCGTCCCGATGATGACGGTGATGATTATGATGATGACAATGACGATGATGATGATTATGATGATGATGGTGATGATGGTGATGATGGTGATGATGATGATGACGAAGATGATGATGATGATGATGATGATGATGATGACGATGATGATGATGATGATAATGATGATGATGGCGATGATGGTGATGATGGTGATGATGGTGATGATGGTGATAATGATGATTGTGATGATGGTGATGATGGTGATGATGGTGATGAAGATGATGATGATGCGGAGGAGGAGGAGGAGGGGGAGGAGGAGGAGGAGGTCAGGTCAGGTCAGGTCAGGGAGTCCTCGAAAGCTCCTCGTGAGAAGGCTACCGGGGGCGTGAAGCACAAAGGCTACAGCCCAGGAGGAGGAGGAGGAGGATGGTGATTATGATGATGGTGATGATGGTGATGATGGTGATGATGATGATGAGGATAATGATCATGATGATGATGATGATGGCGATGATGGTGATGATGGTGATGATGGTGATGATGGTGATGATGGTGATGATGATGATGATGAAGATGATGATGATGATGATGATGATGATAATGATCATGATGATGATGATGGTGATGATGGTGATGATGGTGATGATGGTGATGATGGTGATGATGGTGATGATGGTGATGGTGATGATGGTGATGATGGTGATGATGGTGATGATGATGCTGGTGATGATGATGACGTTGAAGATGATGATGATGATGTTGATGTTGATGTTGATGTTGCTGTTGATGATGATCATGATGATGATGACGTCGATTGTGATATCGATTGTAAGATCGATAGTGAGATCGACACTGTTGCCCATTGCTGGGCCCCTCCCCCCGCCCCCAACCTCCTTATCACCCGCAGGGTGGTCGTATAGGTAACATGTATATGTATATGAACTTTATATCTATATAAACATATATATATATATATAACTCCTTGGTGCTAGACGCGCCCCTGTGTGGTGCAGCACCCTCTGCTAGGCAATGCCCCTCCCCAAGCTGAGTAGAACAGCATGCATCCTTGGTGTTAGACGTGCCCCAGTGTGGTGCAGCACTCTCTGCCAGGCAAGGTCCCTCCCCAAGCTGAACAC